ATTACTTGGTATACTCCTCAAAGAAGGCATTGGTTAAAAAAAAAAGTCCCCATATACTCAAATACTTACAACCTAACTTTTTGTGATGGCCAAGAATTGGAAACAAAGTAGTTGTCTATCAGTTGGGGACTGGCTTAAATTGTGGCACATGAATGTAATAGAATACTATAGTGATAAAAGAAATGAATGAACACAGAAAAGCACGAACTGAGGCATAGTGAAGGAGAGCCAAGAAAGCAATATACACAGTGACTACAACAATGTAACCAGAAAGAACCACCTGGAAAAAAAGATTTGAATCGAGGTTTTCTGATGCCAGTTACAGTACTCTTTCTACTCTACCAAATGCCTCATTATTAGGCCTTTGGGCTGAATCCAGTAAGATAAAATTCAAGAGTAAAGTAACAAGTGTTCATTAAGTGCCAACTTATGTGCCAGGCACTGAAGATAAAAATGCAAAAAATAAAAACAATTCCTTCTTTTAAGGCATAAACTTGAAGTTTTACATTCAGGTTCAAAAAATCCAACTTCCCAAGTACCAGATGAGTCTGAAGGATCAGGAGATTCTAGTGGACTTTGAAAGCTTGGTATGAGTCAACATGTATCACAGCCAAAATTGCCAGTGCTATCTTAGGCTGCATTTAAGAGATGTATAGATTCCAAGAACAAGGAGGCATTAAGTGACTGGGGCAGACCACGTCTGGACTATTGCGGTCAGTTCTGGGCACCACAGTTAAGAAAGGACAACTGATAGTCCAGCTACAGGAGTGGGGAACTTGTGGCCTCAAGGCCATATGTGGCCCTCTAGGTCCTCAAATTCGGCCCTTTGACTGAATCTAAACTTCACAGAACAAATCCTTTTATTAAGGACTGCAAGATCCCTTCAAGTTCTAATAGATTATGATTCCAGGATTTGCAAAGTGATTGAATATAAGATACAAGGGAAAGAGAAGAAAAATAAAGTTTTAAACTTCTGAGCTCCTTTAATCTTTCGATGTTTCATCATAGCCATGGAAGGTCTCAGCAGACCAATAACTTAGGGCAAGCCCTACCCAAGCTGGAAAGTCCTAGAGGAACAGCAGTGCACATTTATTATAGCTTTTTAATGTTTGCAAAGTACTTTCCTCATAAACAGCCTATGAGTTGGGTAAAGCAAGTCTTATGCCTAATTTACACATCAGGGAGGTGAAACTTAAAGAGAATTTATGTGAATTGCTCATGATTACACAGCTAGTAAATGGTAATTGAAGGGGTCTTTAAATTATACCACACTGCACAACAAAGGACTGTTATCCAAAGACCAACCTAACTGAAGAAATTCATCACCAGAAAGTTGCCACAGCAACTCGTGGTTTACCTACTAAAATGTGTAGTGGGGGGCAAGTAGGTGGCGCAGTGGATAGAGCACCGGCCCTGAAGTCAGGAGGACCCGAGTTCAAATGCGGTCTCAGACCAAACACTTGACACTTACTAGCTGTGTGACCCTGGGCAAGTCACTTAACCCCAATTGCCTAAAAAAATAAATAAGTAAAATAAACTGTGTAGTGGCTGCTCCATGCTTAAGTTGATTTTACTAGTCTCTTAAAATATTTATGGAATTGGAAGAATAATGGTACCAAGTAACAGCAATAAAGAAGAAAGTCTCAAGGAATAAGCAACTTGGGGCAGGAGATGTAGTGAGAAAAGAGGTTTTGTTAATAGGCAGGTGGAGGTAGAGGTGGGACCATCACATCTATGTAGAAGTGTCCAGGCCTGGGCAAAGTATATTACATGGTACTGAAATAACTGGTAGATTTGATTGCTGACCTGCTGTCAGTGAAAAATAATGGAATCTGAGAAAAATGGACTACAAACCAAGGTGAATGCCTGAATGGAGGGCAGACAGCCCAGATTTCACATACCAATAAGTAACAAGAGACTAAATAATGATAAAGAAAATCCAGTGAGAAAATATGCTAAGTTATCCACTCCAGAACTACACAAGAAGTCAGCTAGAAGCCCACAGGCAAGAGAGGAAAGGGGGCCTGCATTAAAGTCAGTCAACATAGCACAGGCAAACTAGTCAGAGGCCTCCTCCCTAGATCAGTGATATGAATCTCAAGGCAGCAAGAACAAGGGGCTTCCCTCAGAAAGCTCCAGAGTGGTCAGAAACAAACAGCATGGACCCTGAGAGCTGCTGAGGTAGAGGCCAGTGCTGATGTAGCAATGCACCAACCAGGAAACCCCAGGGCTCTGACATCTACAGCATTCTGTTCCAAAAGGACCCTAAAGATCCAATGATCTGAACATCAAAGACTCAAGGAACCAGGGGACCTAACTTTAAGAAGTAGAGATTAGCAATAGGACCCTGATGACCCAGGTCAAGACTTAAGAGGGCATACCACCCCACCCAACATCATAACAGGGGGCAGAGCCTGGCCCTGGAACAAAGACCACCAGGTTCAGGAACTGAAATTGAAGAGAAAAGTAAACTACAGACACTAGCCAATATAAATATTTTTTTTGGTGGATTCAGAGATGCCCCAAAATCCAGCCTACAAGGAAAGAGAAGACAACTGCAAGCAGAGAAATATCTTAACAAATAAAAAGATTAAAAAAAAAACAGAAAATATTAAAAGCAAGTGACTTGGAAAGCAGGTTCAGAGATTCTTTAAGAATAATTGGATTCCAAAAGACTCATGATGGAAAATGCTATCCATATCCAAAGAAAGAACCATGGAGTCTGAATGCATACTATTTTCTTTTGTTTGTTTTCTCTTTCTCATAGTTTTTCCTTTTGTTCCGATTCTTCTTTCACAACATGACTAATGTGGAAATATGTTTAATATGATTGCACATGTACAACCTGTATCAGATTGCATGCTGTCTTGGGGAGGGAAACGGAAAAATTTGGAACTCAAAATCTTATAGAAATAAAAGTTGAAAACTATAAACAAACACACACATAAATAACTGGATTCCCTGAAAACTTTTTATTTTTTAAAAGTATAAGTACTGTATTTCAAGAAGTGAAAAGCAAAAACTGCATCTATTAGAAGCAGAGTGATAAAGTGAAGATAATTCATTGATCATCTGAAAGAAATCCCCAAAAGGCCCAGGATTGTTATTCATAACCAAAATCTAGAACTCCTATCTTAACCAAAGAAGCATCTAAGCATCCAGAAAGGTCAGATACCAAAGAACCACAGGTAAGAGCACACAAAACTTTCTACAATAAAAGAAAGTTCCTGAAATACAATTATTTCAAAAGGACTTATACACAAGATTAACTTACCTTACCAGGTACAGCAGAACACACATTTGTTTCCTGCTACTGGGGCAATTAAGGCTAGTGGGAGTCTTGATTGCTTGAGCTTTGGAATTCTTAGCTGAGGTAGGACTAAACTATCATGAGTCTTCTGGAATTTTGGTTCATTTAAAGAAATCTGGCTAGTTAACAATGTAAAAGACCTAAGGGTATTAGTAGTCTGCAGCTTAAAGAATCTGGAGTCTAAAATGGCAGCCAAAATAGATAACCCGATTTTAAGTTACATCTAGAAATGAGGAAATAGTTTCACTGTGTTTGGGTTAGACCATCTCTGTAATGCAATGTTCAGGTCTGGTTGTAACATTTCAAAAGAGCAGAAGCAAAATAAGCATGCCCAGATGCTTGAGACCAGGATGCCAAAAGGACTGAAAATCGTGACATGGAGTGGATCAACTCAAGAAAGTGGGATTAAGCTTAAGACTTAGGGGGACATGAGAGTTGTCTAGTTGAAGTACTATCATATGAAAGATTAGGCTTGTTCTGCTTGCCCCCAAAGAATAAAACTAGAAGCAATGGAAGTTAGAGAACTTCAAGAGTCCCTGGCAGAAGTAACAACAGAAATAACTGCTCATTGACTCTGTGACAATAAACACTTCAGTATAAAACATGGAAGGTCAGTATGCTTCTCCAGGGTCCCAACCAGTTATGGTGGAGATCCAGCAGAATCTAAGTCCAGGAGAGATTTCCTGTAGATGGTGAGGTCCTCCATATTCTCCTGCTTTCAGATGATGCTGCACTTCTTGTGCAAAACCAAGATATTGCAGAATACCCTGAAAGCCTCAAAGGAGTATGGCTCAGTCACCCACACAGATGAACAAAGTCTATTGCAGATTTCAACATGAATTTGGATGGACACCCTATAAAGCTTGTCCAAGAGTAAAGACCTAGAACAGAGAGCAGAGGTACGAGCTGGGCCCAGAGTTGAAAAGGATAGCAGGCTGCATTGTATTAAGGCATTTGCAAAGCTTTTACTGTTCCCAAGCTTCCCATGAAAGCAGGGGCTGATCTTCTCAATACTAACATTTTACTGGTGCTGCTCATGAAACCTCTTTGCCTCTGAAGAATTAAAGATGACTATTAAACAGAAGGAAATAGAGGCCATGAATAGGCTACAACCTGTAGCAAATGAAGGGCTCTGAAAAAAAGGGATGCTGTCAAGGAATTATAAGATGGGAAAATGGCCTGCTCATAAAGTAAAAGTGAAATTTGACAGGTGACAGCCAAAGTATTCTGTTAGCATCCTCCATGAAGTGAGGTCAACCTCCTGTGGAAAACTTTTGGGGAAAATATGGATAAATGTTGCAAGCACAGATGGGTTCAACCTTCATCACTGAAGGGAACTTCAGAATTAAAGAGCGCACATAACCATTTGAATGAAAAGTCTCATCACTAGAAGTTTTCAAACAGATGCATAAAAGATCATATGACTTCTTGAAGAAGTGTGTGTGCATGTGTAACTACTGTTAAACTAAGGGACCCTTTCAACTCACTGAATTCCTTGAAACTCACATTTCTCTGTACCTAAATAACAGTGATTTTGAAGTTCTGTTGGATACATCAGAAAAAAAAAACACAAAAATCAAATGAATGAATTACTTTTCATATTTACATTTTATTTTATGCTGTACAAGGTGAAAATTTTATGTATGCTTCACATTTTTCATGAGTTAGCCAAACATTATACAAATATATACAGGAGTATTCACATTTAATTTTATTGTGTACATCCTTATTATTTAAACAGCTGACTGCACACAATGCAAACAGTACTCACATGATGTAAAGCATAATTTCATTTGGTACATATTCTGCATTGTAAAGAAAGAAGTTAATGATTTACTGTGTTCTTCAATTTCAGATTAGTCCAAATGTTTTAGTAGTAACAAACTTGTGCTCTAAAAGATTGTTTTCATGAAATTTTTTCTACAGAAAGTCCTTGTGTCACTTAAGTAAATGCCAAATTACATTTTCATAATTGTTTAAAAAATGAGTCATTTTTTCACAGTAAGTTGACATAAATGTACTACAAGAGAAGTACTAAAACTACTGGACTTAATGTTAATATCAAACTGGGCACAGAAGTCCTTAACGGCTGATTTTTTTTTTTCAAGTCCAAACTGAAAAAGGCAAGTCTCACCACAGAGGAAATTAAGCCAACTTGACAAAAAGCGCTGAGTTTTAATGTTCAAGACAATTCAGGTGAATTTTTTCATCTGATTCACTCTGCTGTAGATTTCCTTCTACAAAGAAATAAGCATAACAAGCTGGAATGTGTGTTTTAATTGATAAAGGGGAAGGGGGAAAAAAAAGACAAATTTCATGCCTGCAAAATGAACATCTTTGGAAATCACCAGTTACAAAATCCGCTTTTTTTTTTTAAAGGTAGAAAAAAATAACTCTCATGACCATTTTAAATCTGAATGCAATGCAATAAAAGACAAACCTCAAACATTAAAAACAGCTTTCTAAAGTAGGTGTGATAGAAAATTCCTAAACCAAACACCAAAATATGAGATGATCTTGGAAATTAGAGAGGAGGGGCTGTCTTTTTGTCTTTCTTTGTATCCCCAGTGCTTAGCACAGTGCCTGGCATAGAGATGCTTAATAAATGCCTGGCCTGACTAGTAGCTACATATTGGATTTTCCCTTCACTAATACATTCAACTCCAGTAACAGTATTTACAATTCCAGGTTTGACTGACAATTAAAATCAGCCTTAAAACAATTAAAATGATTTGATTTTATCAACTAATTTTCCCTCAGTCTCATTACACTAGGAGGTGAGTACATTGATTTGGAGAAGGAAGGATGGTGATTATGGCAGTAGAATAAATCTTTAGGTCTTGATGACCATGTTTTTGTGGCTTCAATTAATACCCATCCATGGGGCAGTGAGGTGGCAGTGGAGAAAATGCCAACCCTGAAGTCAGGAGGACCCGAGTTCAAATCCAGCCTCAGATGCTTACTAACTGTGTGACCCTAGGCAAGTTACTTAACCCTGTCTGCCTCAGTTTCCTCATCTGTGAAATGATCTGGAGAAGGAAATGGCAAACCAGTCCAGTATCTTTCCCAAGAAAACCTCAAATGAGATCAATTAGAGTCAGACAGGACTGAAAAACAACTGAACAACAACATGGATGGAAGAGGCAGCAGATATAACATAGCTAACCCAAAGAGTAAAAGGAAAATGGCATACTTAAGTGGTTCATTTAATAAAGTGATTTACTTCACTTACTGAAAGTAAAGTTTTGACAAGAATGACAGTTTTTCCCATATGAAGACACTTAAAAAAGTGGATGGGAGATTATGACTTTTTTGTGCAAGGAACACAAATGGTTTCTTAAAGTTAAAATTGGAAGGAGTTAATATAACATTTTTTCATAGCAGCTTTCATTAGGAGAACTGAAACATACCAAATTTCTTCATAAAGGTAATAATAAAGTTTATTCAACAATTCAGTATCATGATCTGCTCCTCTGGAACACAATCTTATGATTAAAGATAAATAGATTAAATAAATAAATAAATAAATAAATAAATAAATAAAAAGATAAAGATAAAAATTTGATAACTATAAATATGTGTATTTAAGGTAAATGAAAAATGGTTGAGCTTTTCTGTATACAAAATCTTTGGACTAATATATTTTTTAAAAAGCTTTTTAAAATAGTTTATTTTAATAATAACTATTATTATAACTATTAAAATAATTGGTTTCCTTTGAAATGCCACGTATTTTACTCATCTGAAAACATTATACTTGAGGAATCCATAGGCTTCACCTAACTGCCAAAAGAGTATATCACAAAAAATGTTAAGAACCCTTGAACCACTTCCCTTTGTCTTGCTCAGATCCAAAGAATCATACATCTAGAACTGAAAGGTTCATCAGAGGTGCTCTAGTTCAACTTTTTCATTTTACAGCTGAAGCCCAGAAAGTGTCTTGCCCAGAGTCATAGAGGCAGCAAATGACAAAGCCAGGCCAGGACTGAAATTATGGTCTCTTGATTCCAAATTCAGTCCTCTTTCTACTGTACCATGCTGATCCAGTCAGAAGAAGGAAAAGAAAAAAATTCGCTTTGTACATGTATAATCTTTTAGTGTTTTCAAAGTTAGTATATATTTTTTATTGTGAGCCTCTAATGAAGCAGGCAGGCATTATTATCTTCTTCTTAAAGAAGAACAAACAAGTTTCAACAGGTTAAGTGATCTATATGAATTAGTAAAGTTACGTAGCTAATAAACGGCTGATTAGGAGAAGCCAGAATCCAGAGGATGAAAGTCCTAATCAGATCTCTTTTTGTTGCACCAAAGATGCCTCAAAAACAAAGACATCAATCCAAAAATAGAAGGGAAGGTTTCTGAGAATTTAAATAATGAGTTTAAAAGTACCTCAGAATTTTCTGACTTTTTCAGTTCTTGTGAATTTTAAAGGAAGGGTGTTATTTCATCCACTGAGAAGAAAGGGCAGACAAGAACAGGAAAACCTCTTGAGTGAAGACAACTAATCATTTCTTCCATTTAAAAAAAGTCTTCCCATAACAACACATTTCCAATTGTACAATAGCAGGCAATGAATAAATAGGGTAAAGATATAAAATTCTATTGTGGTTTCCATCTAACTTTTTCAAAATATCTCTTCCAAACTGCAGAACACTCAATACTTTCATTGCATAGATCAAAAAGAATGTTGAATTTTAACTTTCCAGTGAAGCAAAAAAGTATTTCTTCATGGCCTAGTACTTTTTAAAAATAATTATTTAAAAGATTATTATATATATATATATATATACTCATAAAATTTTTGCTAAATTATACTTTATTGAGTTCTGAAATTACTTTTTAATTCCAAATTCCCCCACAATCTCTATATTTACCTTGATCAGGATGAACTGTAGACTTACTTTCAGATAAAGTAGTGCTCATTTCTTCAAACATTTTGTTACTTATGTTATCTTGTTCCACTTCACACAAATAAACATCAATAGGTCCCTTTGTGCTCTTTATATGTACTGTTATACAGTCCTATTAAAAGAAACATAGGATATAAACATGAATGAGAAAAATACATTAACCATCTTTGTTTCATTCACTAGGACAGTCAAGTCCTGCAAATCTTCCTGAAAGTCTGAATTTATACCTTATTTTATCATTAAGTAATTGTGAGAAAAATGCAGTGGAGATTAAAAAATAGGTATAATCAACTAGTCAGGTTAGCAAAGTGGTCTGGCACACGATACTGAGGGGATAAAAGTTTTGGAGTCAAAGTACAAAAATTTAATTACTTAAAACCGTTTCTCTCTACTTAAGTCTTTTACTTGAACTTAATGAATCTAGAAAACAGAAACCAAGAGCCTAACATTTTATCGATTAGTGAAGAATGAGAATTCTTGATTAGTCTAAGCTAGATGACCACAAAGCACAGACTCTACTATGAGCCTAATGTTTTCAAGGGATTATGTGATAAACTCTATAGGGACTACGTCTCTCACACTTGAACAAGAATCTTGAAGGAAAAAAATCTACCAAATCTTAACTACTCGGATTTATAATACCATGTAATTTAATGACTTTGGGGAAAATATGAGCATTTAATTTAATGTCTAGCACCTAGGTCATCAAATAATGTTAAATAATGAGTCACACAGGATCATAAATTCAGAGCTGCCGAGGACCTTAAAAGATATCCAGTCCAACTCTTCCTCTATCATTTTACAGATGAGGAAACTGAGGCCCAGAGAGGTTAAGTGACCTTCCCAAGGTACCACACATGGCCAGCAGAAGAACTATAATTCTGAATTCATTCCCTCAGTCCAAAGCCCAGGTTCTTTCCACTGTACCACAAAGCACTTCCTGAAGGTTACTTAAAATGCTGCGTTTTCATATAATACTAGGCATATAACCATTCTCCCCCTCCCCCCAAGAATGAATAGTCAATTCTTGAGAAAGCAATACAGTTGAAAATAATCTCTGTATTTTTCTCAGTTGTAATCAAGCAAGTATAGTTCTCATTAAAAGGGCAGTTTCCATTTTTTTTTCCATGCAGGTTGATCACACTCCCACAAACACACATATTTTGTTGGTCTACTCTTAAGAGTTTAGAGGATGTTACAAAACACCCACATGAGAAATATGGCTCTAGCACATTAATAAAATGGTAATGTTACATACATGAAAAGCAACATGTCGACAGTTGGAATTGAAACCCCTACCTGGTTCTCTGGGGATGTCTGTTAGGCCCGGTCTAGACAACACAGATGGCATTCCTCCCTCCCGCGCTGCCCTTCACTGTGTTCACAACACAAAGTGAGTTGCAGTGAGATGCAGCATAGCAGAAGATCTCACATCTTAATTTTCTGTCCTATTTCTAAGTTCTCCCATTACTAGAAGGCATGTCTAAAGCTATTTCAGGTTTCAATTCACCAGTCTGCATCTTGGTTTTAATTTAAGCACACCTTCCCTAAGAGTTCATTCAGACTGACTCTCATTTGAATTCTAGCACAGTGCTGTGTACCCAGGAGGAGATATGCTTGTGTGAACCAGGAGAGGCAAGAGAAAATACTATACATAGCTCTTCAGTGCTTGTTTTCCTTGCTCCCTCTCCAGGTCTTTTCCATGGAAGTCTTTATATTGCTTTTTATTAATATCGTATAAAATTGAAATTTAACTCTAAACAAAGGTCCTGGGAATGCTAAAAAGTGAAGATATATTTTGGTAGCCCAAGGGCTGCACTGATTCCCACAAAATGTTTAAAAAAAAAACCCAGAAAACACAAACCTAGGAGAAGGGTAGAGGTTATCACCTTTGGAGGATTAAGGAGAAGACATGGACAAGGATCACACAGGATGAGGTGTGAATGGAATGTGACTTGTAGTGGCAGAGGGAGTACCCAAATCAATAAAGTACTATATATTTTGGATGCCTCCTATCACTGTAAAGACTATGATTTTAGCTTAAAGTTCCTCTTGACATGCAAGAAAGGTAAAATATCTAATACAATGCTATTACCACTCTATACACTATAAAAGAGGCTCCAATAAATCCTATCAAAAGGCATCACTATTACTTATGAAATCAAGTTTATTTAATAAGTTCAGGTGAAGGGAATGGTGTGAGATACATTTTAAAAGAGAAAAGTATGGTGAGACTTCTTTTTATAAAATAGACTTTCTGAAAATGAAACTTATAAACAAATACATTTAAAGTACTACCTACTTCTTTAGGAGTTGGCACTTCCAATTTGGTTTCTTCTGGAGCCTTGACTGCAATAACAATCTGTTCATGGAAAGCTTGAATGCTATGGATATCTTGATAGGTCACATATGCTAATGTATAAATCAGTCAAGGAATCTCTAAATTAAGGAACATACTTAGCTGAAAAGCAATTAAGAGGTCACCAGTAATAAATGCTTCAAAATGAAAATCTAGGAAGTTCTTATGTTAAATGAGCTAAATTAATAGCCTAGAGTGAAAAAAGTGGAGGTTTTAGTCAAAGCAATAAACTCACAGATTTCCCTACAAGGTCGTTTTTCAATATTTACTTTAGCTCCAGGTTTCTTTTTATTAATACAGATGACGCTAAAGTATTCTGCTGGTTATTAATGAAGACAAAACATTTAGAAATAAACATTAAAACAGATATAAGGGGATAACAGCATTTTAACAAGGCTACCAAAAGTTTTCTAACTTTAGGAAAGAACTGGTATGCAGTAGAAAGACTGGTGGATTTGAATTGTGAGGATTATAGCTCTGGCACCTAAGTATGACTTGAGACAAGTCACTTATAACCTCTCTGAACTGGTTTCTTTTTCACTGAACTGGTTTCTTTTTCACTATTAAATGGTTCAACAGAAAGAGATATAAGTTTATTATTAGAAGCAACATTTAAGAAGCTGTATTACCATCTAAGGGTGCTACCTGTACTGTCTTCCTCTATTAGAATATAAGGGCCTTCAGAACAGGAGTTGTCTTACTTTTCAATGTGCATACTCAGCAATAAGCTCAGTGCTTCACACAACACAAAAATGCCTTTTCATTCATCTAAAAAGAAGAGTGCTGTGAAGAGGAATAATATGAAATAAGACAGAAATGGGTAGGAAGAAGATGATGATCCAGCAAAGAATTCTGAAAAGAAAGAGTTAGACATGTAGAAAATCAAAAGAGCAGTGTCATACAACTCCAAAAGACTCATGATGGAAAATGCTATCCACATCCAGAAAAAAAAAATCAAAAAACTATGGAGTCTGAATGCATATCAAAGCATACTATTTGCTCTTTTTTTTGCTTGTTCCTGTCATGTTTTCTCCCATTGGCTCTAATTCTTCTTTACAACATAACTAATGTGAAAATATGTTTTATATGAATGTATATGCACAGCCTATATCAGGTTGCATGCTGTCTTGGGGAGGGGGAGAAAATTTAGAACTCAAAATCTTATAGAAGTGAATGATGAAAATGAAAAATAAATAAAGGAAGAAAGAAAAAAAAAAAGAGCAGTGTCACGGAGCCAAAGGAAAAAGTATCCAAGAGAAAGAACACATGTCAGGGAGGGGAGTAAAGCATTAAGAAGGCTGGAAAAATAGAAGGGGGCCTAGTTAAAAAGGGTTTTGAATGCCAAACAAAACATTTTCTATTTGATCCTGAATACAGCAGGGAATCGCTGGAGTTTATTAAGTAGTGGAGTGACATGATCAGACCTGTACTTTAGGAAAATCACTTTGGTGGCTGAATGGAGGATAGATTGGAATGAGAAGGGACTTGAGGCACCCAGACCCACCAGCAGGCTAATACAATAATCCAGGCTTGAGGTAATAATGGTCTGCATTAGAATGGTGGTAGTGTCAGAGGAGAGAAGGGGGTTTATATATGTTGCAAAGGTGAATGAACAAGCCTTGGCAACAGCTTAGTTATGGGAAATAAGAGGGTGCAAGGTAAGAGATAGTGAGGAAACCAGGATGACTCCAAAGTTGTAAGCCTGAGGGACTTGGAGGGTGGTGTTGTCCTTAACAATATTTGGGAAGATAGGAGGGAAGGGTTTAAGGAGAAAGATAATAAATTCCATTTTGGACATACTGAGTTTAAGATGTCTACTGGACATCCAATTTGAGAGGTCTGAAAGAAGGTAGAGATGTGAAACTTGAAGGTCAGCAGTGAGTTTGAGGCAGGATAAGTACATTTGAACATCATCAGCATAAAGATGGTAATTAAATCCATAGTAGTTGATGAGAACTCACAGTGAAGTAGTACAGAGGGAGAAGAGGGCCTACAATAGAACCGGAGTGACACCTTTGGTTAGAAGGTGTGATCTAGAGGATACAGCTAAGGATACAGAGGAGGAGCCAGATAGATAGGAGGAAGACCTGGAGGAAGTGGTGTCCTAAAAATCTAGAGAGAAGTATCAAGGAAAGAGTGTTCAACAGTGTCAAAGGCTGCAGAAAGGTTAAGGAGACTGACAAAGTCCTTTCCTCCTGGAACCAGGAACTGAGGTATTATTTGGCTGTATTATGAGTTAAAATTGTGAGCTAGTTTTAAAACTTAGTACAATGCCTTGCATGGCTGGTGTCTGAAAAATGCTTGCTAAATTGAATAGTCTGGAAATCTAATCACTATTTATGTTGTTCTTATAGAAAAATGTATTCCTAAAATTTTGGGAGCATAACTTGTAAGCTGGGGGTTACCTAAACAGAAAAGTATTTGACTAATTTTATAACACTCTAGGATGAAAACATATCAGTTTTAATATTAAAAATAAATGATGAAATAACCCTAACGGTAATTATCACTTTTAGATATCAGTGGAGGATACCTCCCCACAGTCCCTATCAACCTGATCTGATGAGGCTATAAAGGCAATGTTGCAGTTTCTGTTAAAACTACAAGTTGTCCTACATGTACTTGAATGGCTAAATGCTTGATTTTCCATCTAAGATATGTAAATTAAGTCTTATTGCTAACAATAGTACTGAAATTAAGTGGCTCCAGAGTAATTCTAACAGCTAATGATAAAGGATATCTTTCATTTTCTTTGTCATCTGTTAGTTCAAACAGCTGCTGAGCACAATCCTTAATTAACTCATCCAAAGCTTTTTCCATTGCTGTTAAATCAGTAAGTTCATCCCTTATCTTCTTTTGCTGAGGTACTTTTGTTCCAATACCACCAAGATCAGATCCACTTAAAAAAAAAGTATGAAAAAATAAAACATATAAGAAACTAACAAAGAATATTTTCAAATTAGATTACTGTTTCACTAAAATTTTTACAATTCTTTTTATCTTGTCCAAATTGTGTTAATATCTTTAGTGTGTGTTATACTTACATACAATGATAGGCATATAGCAACTAATAATATTAAAATGATCACTTAGCAAAACAGAGTAAACAACTGCTCACCGATATCTCAGAAATTTTGACTATAAAATGAATTTTTCCATTGACTCAAAATAAAAAGACATTCCCATGGGAAAACCTCTCAACAAAACAGGAATAGAAATTTTGGAGAAGAGTTTTAAACTTAAGTGATCAAAACTGGAGACTAAACTTTAACATGGGCCTAATTTGTAAAGTACAGCATAAGACTACTTCCTACTCCTTACAAGTTTTATTATCATGAGAGTGAAAGGCATAAAAAGCATTTAAGTGCCTACTATATGCCAGGCACTATGCTAAGCACTTCACAAATATTATCTCATTTGATCTTACACCTACCCTGGGAGGTGAATAATATTATCCATTTTATAGCTGAGGAAACTAAGGTAGACAGAGATTAAGTAACTTGGCCGGCGTCACAGCTACTATCTGGTTTCTAAGACCAGATTTGAATTTGGGTTTTCCTGACTCCAGGCTCAGTGCTCTATCTACTATGCCAATCAGCTTCAGGTATAAACCTAAATTATTTAAAAGGTCATGATATGACTTCACATGCATAACTGATATCATATTGCTTGCCTTCTCAATAGGGAAAGAGTTGGAAGGGAGAGAATTTGAAACTCAAAATTTTTTTTTAAGAAATTAGTGTTAGTAAATAATGAATAAATTAAAGGTTGATTTTTTTTTAAGGTCACAATGGATTTCTGTTTAATAACAAAATATTGTCAAGTTATTCAGGTAATAAACTGTTGACTTTGAAGGGGAAGGTAAGTATTAAGGAGGTTATATGAAGGCTTCATAATCCTATATTACCCTTTTATAGCCAAACTCCTGGAAAAAGCCACCTGTACTTGTTGCCTCCCCCTCCTCATTACCAGCTCACCTTTCAACCCCTTAAAATCTGGCTTCTGACCCCACAATTGAAACTGTTCTAACCAAGGTTACCAAGGACCTCTTACTTGCCAAGACCAATGGCTTCTTCTGAGTCCTCAACTTTGACCTTTCTGCAGCATGACATTATTGACCACCTACTCATCTTGTCTGGCTTCTCAGTCTTCTTTGCTGGATAATTATAACCTATTATGTTGAAGTGTACCCAAAGGCTTTGTGCTAGTCCCTCTTCTTTTTTCTCTATAAATTACTGCTCTCTAGGATTTATACTCCATTTATCTTACTGATTTATTATTTCCCCTATCTCTAGGCTACTGAATACCTTCTCCAAGGTATCCATCTAGTTTTGAAGCCTTAACTAATTCTTCCCTAGTAATTAGGAATCAAATAAAATGTAATGGATGTTTATTAACTATGATGAAATGACTCTTAAAATATCATGTCTCCAATTCTTCAATGGTAATGGCTCTTAACTGATTCTAAGGCTCTCTACCATTAAATAGTTAACTACTCTAGCTCAGTTTAAGACAGAAGTAAATAATTAAAATTCTTTCCTACTATATAAAACTTTCTTATTTGTATTACAATTTTAAAATGTTGTACATGTTTAGTTTCCTTGAAAAAGACTTAATTGTACTATGATGATTTAAAGGAGAATGTGAAAAGCTTGAATCAACTCACATCCACTGAATATGGTTCTTAGATCTTTTCTGAATGAGGTCAATTCCATCTAATACATTGGTGATGTCATATACTCTTCGTTTCCGTACTCCCAATGTTGTTGCAACTTCATTTAAATCAAGAACTCCACCAGGAGCAGATTTGATGAGCTCCATAAACTTACGAGTTAAATAAACCAAAGACACATCATAACGAGGTTTTGCCACTCTTAGTGCTTCTGAAAAAACAGAATACATTTTTTTAGTAATAAGCTTTATAAAACATTTATGTACATTATTTACCATTCAGAAAAACATTTCTTTTGTATCACTATATTTGATCAAAGTAAAAGATTTTCTATATACTCAGTCCTACATATCAATTATTGAGCCTGGGACAAATAGAACAACAAAACAGCCAAGAGACATTAAAGATACCTCAAATATTGCTAAGAGGGTGGGGTACAGACATGGTATGGAATCCTGGCCAGATCATTGGTAGCTTACCATTTTAACCTGTTAAGTCTTGCTAAGTGCTAAATTTAATTGTTTCTACCATGCTAAAAGACTAGTTGTAAATTCCAGCTCTTGACTCAAAGCCCCAGTCAATCACCCTAGTAATAGCTATAAACACTTCAACAACTTCACCACTGCAGGTAGCAAACCCTCTAGAATTTAGTAGATAATCTTCAAGAATTGTTATAGTTGAAAAATTCGAATCCTTAAGACAGCATGGTGATGAGCCATGCCTTGGACATATGGTATACAGTACCTTAAAGTGGTGGTTCTTTTGGGGATATATTGGATTACATGGCCACTCAAGTTCCTTTCTAACTCTAAAATTCTGTGAAATAAAATTATAGAATCTCACACTTGCACTGCATTTCAATGTTCTACTAGGATAAATGCCTTTAATATATCTTGATTAGATGTTTTTAAATAATTTAGCTGTCATTCTGATCAGAGGTTAAATGATTTTCCCCCCACTTCACCACACTTCAAATGGCAATACTGCAAAACCACTCTCCAAGTTTTCTAATCCATTACAGTCATAAGCACCATTCATCATATATTCAGATTAATTCCAGTGGCTGGAAAATCTATGATTCCACCCATTACAGGATGAACAGCTGGAGCCCCCAAATTAATGGAGATTAGCTTTAAATTTGAAAATATTTATAGTTGTGGGTGGTTAGAATTTTTAAACTCATTACTTCTAAGCTGGCAGTAGACAACAGAGTTCAAATACACTATGCAAACCAGAAGGCCTAGTTTAACAAGTGTTTATTTAAATATACACTGGTTAGGGTTATATTTAAATGCCTAAACACATTCAATTCCACAAAATTCACCAAAAATAAATAAATAAATAAATAAATGACAGTAGCTACTCCCAACCCACGGCAATTATTTTTCTATCTCAGGGTGAAATCTACTGTCACTCTCATCTTTGTTCCTCTGTGTTGCTATAGATTTCAAAAAGGATGAGGAACAAGAACTGATGTTCTCATCTCCTATAGAAGTCATATCACTTTCAACTGGTGGCAGATGCTGAGAAAGGAGGAGGAAACTAAGAAAGCAGGAAGATAGGAGGTTGCCTTGTTTGTTATCTAAAGGCAACCCTACTGACAATTTTGTCTTTTGGGAGTTTCTGTGCTGTTCAATTTTCCAAATACCATAGGATTTTAATACAAAACCCCAATTTTCAGAATTGCTACATGGCTTAAAATCATGGAACATCACAATCTCCAAAGAAATAAAAATCATGGGTGACCCTAAATAGGCTGCACCATTACCAATAATTATTTCTGTGCAAGAAATTGCATAAAAGATAGCATTCTATAAATATATGACTAGCAAAGGAGGCAGATATTGTGAAAGCCAGGGATAAGATGAACCACCCAAACGCTAAACTGTTACCAATGGAAACTTAAAAGGCCTACAGGAAGGTCTCTAGACCATAGCCTCCAAAGGCTAGAGGATTTGTGGGAGGGAATGAACAAGAATTAAACAGGATGAGAGCACATGGATACGGTGAGATCAACAGTGCTGGAGCATATACTACCTTGACAAGATTGTGTACATGTTGAAGAATTTTTAGTGTAAATTTATGGGGTTTTCCATAGAAGAAAAATGCAACCATTTCTATAAACAGGATTTATTTACGTACTGATATAAATAAGAGACAGTGTGGCCTAGTAGAAAGAATTCCATGATTTAGTGAGAGAAGCTGGATTTGAATCCCAGTCACTTATTCTCACATTGTTACACTGATTGTGTCACAATGAAAAAAATCTTCATCTGTGAAATGAGGGGATTGGACTAAATGACCCTTTAACATCCCTGCCATTATTCTATAATCCTAGAAAGCTTCTGAAACACAGGAGAACAAATTTTTAAAATTCTCTTTATTAAAACAAGATCCAGTGCCTTAAGTATTTTTGCTAGTATTTCATTATGTAAATATAGAAAAAGTATGATCTATTACATCATAGAACCATTCACATTTGGTGCTGGAAAGGACCTTAGAATCACTTAACCTAACTTCTAACAATAGTCTTAGTCACATTTTTAAAAATCCCAATGTACAGTTTAAATCTGTGAAATTCAAATGATAACATGTAAACAAAACTACTCAATGTTTAACTTACTTCTCATGGCCATGTATTGTACATTCTCTTCTAAATTAATCTTTATTTTTGATGGCTAGGGGAAAAAAGATAACTGTTAAATTACTTGTAACCAACGATTAAAAAAAAAAACTCAATATAATTTCTCTGTGTATTTTGAGGTTTTTTGTAAGGCAATAATTCAAGTAAGACTGCGGGGGCGGGGGACTGACTCACTAGCCCAACCACACAATATCATTTTTTAAATGCAAAACTACTCCTTCATGCAGACTTCAGAAATATGCTCACACCCAGGCCATGCTGAAGCACAAACAAGAGGAGTGCAAAAAAACATGGGAAAATGAGATGTAGGTAACTAAAATAAGCTTCAAAACAAAGAGCAGATATTCAATAGGAGTCAATAGAGTGGAAGTGAAATAGAAAGTAATAGAAACTAGTGATACCTAGTTCTTATAAAAGGCTATATCCTGTCACAAACTATGATTACAACAAAAAATTATGTATTAGAAAGATTTCCCAGTCATTAACTGACTGTCCAATTACTTCAACAAAGAGTGGAGAAAAACTTCCAAAACAAACTATTTGGAACAGTCCCTTGAATTTATTTTAATCAGAATTTTAATGTATTTTCACTAATTCTCAAAACAAGTATGAGAACCAATTTTTTTATTCTATCAAGAGACAATAGAACTAGATGTCCCTCAGACATCTCATTTCCCACCTGGACTCTGGTGGCACTCATTTTGGACTTCTTGGCTTTTCTACTAAGCCCCCAATAAACTTGTCACAGGGAAATGTCATCACCTTACAAGATTCAATCAGCCTTATGTCTCACACACCATCAGTAAATACCCTTGCCCCTCTGATTGGAGGGTGCAGCCATAAATTCCTCCATTTAAGGAGAGGAGACAGACATAGCCTTATTTCTCAAGTAGCGACACTTCTTTTGGACTTCTTTGACTTTTCCACTATGCCCCAGAGACTGACTGAACACCTCTTCAAAGCCCTTCACCCTTATTTCAGCTTTCTTTTGCGTGGTCTTTCCCCATTATACTGTATGCTTCTGGAGGTCAAGGACCATGTTCCCCACCCCCTCCCATTTGTATCCTGAGTCTTAAGCACATAGTAGGTGCTTAACAAATGTTTATTGAGCAATGGAGAGTAGAGTTGAAGAGACTTCAGAGACCATCTAGTGAAACCTACCAGGAGGGCCAAGGAGGTTAAGTGACTTGTCCAGTCATATATGTAATAAATATCAGAGGTAGAATTTGAAGCTGGATCCTCTGACTCTGGAGCAACTTCTTTTACTCCTCTACCACGTCGTGACTTGCCCACAGAAAAAAATAGCCTATGGTCACATAGAAGCAACAAGCAAACTACTTTAGGGTCCCCCCCCACCAGATAATTATAAAACACTCTTCTTTCCTTTTTTTTTTTCAAGGGAAAAGACATAAAAATTGACTTATGACTGAAGTTTTCTTCTCTGGGTTCTGTTTGAGATAAAGTAAGTTTACTGATAAAGGCTAAACCATGCCTTCAGGCTCATCCTTGAGCTCTTTTCTGTTCCTCCCCCATCATATCCAATCAGTTGACAAGTTTTAAATCAAGTCCATTCTTTAACACCTCTCCAATTCTTTTCTTTTTCTACACAAGGTGATCACAGTCATGGAATGAATGGCAATATGGTGAAGCCTATGGACCCCTTCTCAGAATAGTGTTTTCAAATGCATAAAATAAGTAGGATCATGAAAGAAGACAAAGTAAAATACAGTTAGAAAAAACTACAGTTCACAGTACTCCTCCATCTTTAAGAATCTACTCTACACTGATATCTTCTTAGTTCAGATATTCTTCTCACTGAAACTATTAGTTTCCTAATTGGTCTCCCCAGCCTCCAGTTTTCTCCCCAGTCCATCCAAGGGGGGGGGGGGAGATAGATATTCCCCTAAGGCAGAGGTGTCAAACACTTGTGCACTGTCAGCACGTTGTTTAGTCATGTCCAACTCTTCATCACCCCATGGGCCCACATTGTCCATGTGGTTTTCTTGACAAAGATACTAGAGTGATTTGCCATTTTCTTCTCCAGTGGATTAAGACAAACAGAGGCTAAGATAGTAGCCTAGGGTCACATAGCTATTAAGTGTGAGGTCAAATTTGAACTCAGGAGTTCCTGACTCCAGGCCCAACATTCTATCTAGCTGCCTCCTGTCAACATAGTATTCCTAAGTATGCGCCAGAACTAGGCTAAAATGTAATGGAGAAATATTTGACAAAATAAAAATACAATAAAACATAGAAAATATTAATGTGGTTTTCTAAGTCAATATTCAGCCTGTGGGTAACCTTCTGTATGGTTTAACAGTTCTATTTCTATTTAAGTTTGACACCCTGCCCTAAGGGACAAAACAGATCATGCCATGCACTCTCCTAATCAAAAACCATCAGGAGATCTCTACAGAAAGCCCTCAGCCTGACATTTAAAGCTCTCACATACCACCTTTCCATCCCTATTTTTATACTACTCCCCCTCACAAACTCTAGGTTGCAACTAAACAGAACTACTAGTCCAGTTCCCGAAACTGGACTCGCCATCTCCTGACTCTGTGTACTATCTAACCATGCTAGCAATGTATCCTTTCCTCACCTTGCCTCTGAATCAGAAGCCTTCAGAGACTTAGTGCTCTCTCCTTTCTTCATTTAAAAATATCTCTATGTTTGCTGTATGTTCCCAGCGGGCTATAAATGCCTTGAGGGGAGGGGGACTATTTATTTATATTTTGTGTCAAATATTTATTGAATTAAAATGTCAAAAATATAATTATAATATATAATTTATTAGGTGCTAGAAGAGGTACTATATGATTCTAACAGGACCTGTGATTTCCCGGTTATAGGTAACTCCCAGTAAGGAAACACCTTCTACCACTGGAGATTAGCAACTCCTTTGCAAACTTAAGTCTCAGAGTTGTGTTTGGGCGCTGACTGAGAGGTTAAGTGAGTTAAAGTTCATACCTGAAAATACTTAGTTAAATTAAATTTCATGACAAGAATTCCATTATATAAATTCTACCACAGTAAAAACTTCAACTCCCTGAAACACTCAATCAGTCCTTCCAGAAGGAACTGAGGTGGAAAGCTAGTACAATAGAATGATCACTGGATTTGGAAATGGAAAACTTGTTTTTTTTTTTTTTTAATTTTTTAAAATTTTTATTTTTAGGCAATTGGGGTTAAGTGACTTGCCCAGGGTCACACAGCTAGTAAGCGTCAAGTGTTTGGTCTGAGGCCGGATTTTAACTCAGGTCCTCCTGACTTCAGGGCCGGTGCTCTATCCACTGCGCCACCTAGCTGCCCCGAAAACTTCGTTTTAAATCCTGACTTTGTTCCTTACAGTTTTATGATCTTGTCCTACTTTACCTACATGAGCTTCAGGTTTTCTCTTCTGTAAACTGAGGTTATTGTATATCACCTCGGGTTTATAAAGTCCCTTTAATATTTGCAAAGAACTTTTCTCTCAAGAACCCTGTGAAGTATTCAAGTATTATCCTTATTTTTAACTGATGTAGACTATGACTAGCCTATGGTCATACGACTATCTAGTGGCAAAGCCACTACAACTAAAGGCATACAAAAGGCTCCAGATACTAGATTATTATTTCATTTCTATCTTAAATACCTAACCCACTAATCATCCCTAACATGCACTTATTAAGGGACAAAAAATCCAAACAGAAGAGCCTAATGAAATTTTAACATGGCACAGTGAAAAATGCATGAAAAATACTTATTGCCCAGACTATATAACACAACTATTATATCTAACACAACTCTAACAAAAATTGGTAGCCAGTTCATTCAGCTGATGGAGCTGTATAGCTATAGGGCAGATAGATCTGCACTATCTGTCCAGATGAACAACGAAATGAGACCAAAACGGGAACAGGAATAATGTAGAATTGTATTTGGGAAATGTCTTATTGTTGAAAGTCTTAGAAAAGAATAAAAACTTATTTATATATTGCTTTCCTACGTTACAAAGTAGGTAGTATAAGTATTACCATCCTCATTTAGAGATGAAAAAGAGGCTCAGAGAGGCCATGTGATTATCTTCCCCCACTAAATGTAAGCTCCTGGAGAATAGGAATTGTTTTCAATTTTTTTTTTTTTTTTGTACTTAGATGTTGAACATTTAACACAGCCGTGCAATGCTTAAGAATTTCAAGTCCCACACTTAGATCATTAAGAGCCCCTAAATTCCAGGGCCACAGAAACAGGGTTTGAGTTTCAGCTCTGCCATTAAATCAATCAAGTACAAATAATAACAGATAGCATTTATACATAGCTCTACATCTCATTTTACCCTCACAACCCTTCAAGGTACTTTCTAAAGGGTTTGTGTGCAAAATAGTGTTCAATGCCCTGGAGAATACAAAGTAAAAACCAAAAATCAAGTATTTATCAAGCATCTTCTACTTTGGAGCACTTTGCTAACTGCTGGCAATACAAGTACCAGCAATGAAACAACCCCTACTCCCAATGAGCTAACATTCTAACGGGGAAGACAAGTAAGTACATACAAAAATATAAGCAAGCATAAATACACAGTTAATAAACACAGCAAAAATATAAAGTTTATAAACAAATATGCACAAAGTTAATAAACACGAATATATATAAAGTAGTTAAATACAAGGCAGGGAGGTAGGGCACCAGCAGTTGAAGAGATCAGGAAAGGAAGGTGGAGCTTGAAAAGGGATTCTATGAAATACAAACTGCTTAAGGTCAACGGGGAATACAATATGTAAACAAGTGTGCAGAGGCTACTGAATGGCATAGTGATGAACTTGGAATCATGCAGACCTGAGTTCAAATCCTCCAACTTGGAGCCCTCATCTGTAAAATATGGGTAATAGCAGCACCTTACCTCCCAGAGTTGTTGTAAGGATCAGAGAGCGACTTGCAAACTTTAAAGCTGCTATGTACACGTCAGCTTTATTAAACCACATTATATTAATCGGACAAGGAATAATTCGAGGATGAGAAAAGAGCATCAACAACCCAGAGAATAACAAGAGAAAAAAAGAGGGTATGTGACCGGAGGAGGGCCTGGGGCAAATCGCTCCCCGCCCCCTTCCGTTTCAATTTCCCAGTTAAACGAAATTTCCCAATAAAACGAAGGAGCATGATTAGACAGCTCCCAGGGTCTAAAGGCCGAAGGGAGGAAGCCATGGAGCCCCCCAGTACCCTCCCGACCTCCCTCCCATGTGGGAGGTGAAGACCGGAGGTGGGTCTCCCTTTCCGAGGCCCCCACCCCCACCCCGCGAGGCGGCTAGAGAAGGAGGAAAGACCGCCGGGGATCGCGGGCCGAAGCCGAGGCCGCCCAGACAAAGCGGCCTCTCCCCGCTGCCCGCGCTCACCAGCAGGTTCTCCATGTGGACCGGCAGCCGGGGCATTCGGCTCATGGACTCCAGCTTCCTCTGGCGGGCCTCGGCGTCCGCGGCGGCGTCCGGGTCCCCGGCTGCGGCCTCCGGGACTCCAGACATCCTCCCCGGAAGGCTAGCTAAATCGAGCGGCTCGTCGTCCTCCTCCTCCGGGCTAAACTCTGGGGCGGCACCGGGTTAAGCCGGAGCCACTCCCCGCCCCCTCCCCGAGGCGCCCGCCCAGCTCTCCCTGCAGACTCCCCGAGAGCCAGAGAAGGAAGGCAAGCCGCAGGTGGCGTCGAGGCCCAAGGCATGCGCAGTGAGCCGCACTCCGACTGCGCATGTGCGCTTACGAGCTGATGCAAAAGCCTGGAGTCCGGCACTCCATGGGAGGGACTGGGCGGGAGAAGGGAAAAAAATGGGCGGGAAATAAAATGCGGGAGACGAGGAATTTCAGAATTCTGAAAGATCTAGGCCAACATTATTGTTTAACTGATACGTAAAAAAGAAACACAGTAAAGGGAAGTTGGAGTAGATCATCTCTAAAACCCTATGATTGATTGTGGATGGAATTCTAGAATTGGGTTCTAATTCTGCTCAGTTCTCTTCCTACTATCTTATTATGGTAGGAAAACTTATTTTCCCTACAGAGTGGAATGGACTTTGAAAATAAAGCATTGATCAGGTGTCTCAAATCGATCAGTCAATCAACAAACATTTAATTTCTTACTTCATTACCAGTCATTAAATCAGTAATTATTTATTACTTTAATTGCCAGGCCCAGTGATAGATGTTAGTGATATAACGATACAGGAAGAAACAACATATAACTATAAAGATAGGATTTAGACCTGTGATTTTATTGGCAAAGGAACTCAAGGTGATGAAACTCCTTATACCAATTCGAAATGGCACCTTTTCTGTAACTATCTAGAACACTGAGAGATTAAGTGAATTAACCAGGATCATACAACTAGTAAGTGACTAGTAAGAGTCAGAACTAGAACCCAGGTCTTCCTGGTTTTGAGGCCAACTCTAGCCAGTGCACTATGCTGTCTCTTCTGTCTCTCATTTACATTTAAGTGTAAACAAACAAATAAATATAAGTGTAAAGAAACAAAGTATAAATAAACAAATAAATACAGGGTAATGGAGGAGGGGAGAAAATTTGGTCGGTCCTATCCAATGCTTGCTGACTCCATTTTGGGGTTTTTTTTAGGCAGTTGGGGTTAAGTGACTTGCCCAGGGTCACATAGCTAGTAAGTATCAAGTGTTTGGTCTGAGGCCAGATTTGAACTCAGGTCTTCTTGTGCCACCTACCTGCCCCTATTTTGGGGTTTTCTTGGCAAAGATACTGGAGTGGTTTGCCAATTCCTTCTCAACTCATTTTACAGATGAGGAAACTGAGGAGAACAGGGTTGAGTGAATTGGTCAGGGTCACACAGCTAGTAAGATCTAAGCCAGATTTGAACTTAGAAAGATGAGTTTTTCTGACTCCAGGCCTGGTACTCTATGCACTGAGCTACCTAGCTGCCCTAGAGGAGAAAATACCTCAACAAAAATTAATATGAGGGACTACACATCTATAACCTGTATCGAGATGCTTGCCTTTTCAATGAGGGTGGTTGGGGAGGGAGGAAGGGAGAAAATTTGTAACCCAAAGTTTTAAAAACACATGTTAAAAAAAATAATAATAAATAAATAAATAAAAATTAATGTGATGGCTTCTTTTTCTTTGTTAGAAAATATTTAAAAAGCAAATGTAGTTCTTTTGAATTTGGTGAACTGAAGCAGATTTTTTTTTGTTTGTTTAGTAGTTAGGGACATGAGGAAAGCCCTCATAGAAGGGTTGGTGTTTGAAGTGAGTGCTGAGATGCTGTTGTTCACCCTTTGTTTCCAAAGAGGATCAATGACACCACAGGGCAATGTGTTGACTTGTTTGGGAATTGGATTTAAGTGAGGCAGAGTTGCACAAAGTCATCAGGCTCATTCTCTCTTCCAGTCACCAAAGTCCGGTGACAAGACAAAAGTCAGGACAAGTGGAGATGGCCCAAGATTCAGTGGATGCTGTGGATGACCTTGGAGGCCTCTGTCTGACCAAGCTCTAAACTCTCCACAGTGCCTGCTTCAGCCACCTTCATGGCCTTTGGAACAAATTGTTCTCATCTACTCACCGCCAGGGGAGGTCTTCACATGGTTGGGGTGTAGACACCCCCCTAACTCAAAGACAGGTTTAAAACTTGTTGGTTATCCTCAACCTGGTTTAGCCCTTTTGCTCAGATGGTTTTACCTGGGCGTGGCCCCTGTGCATACTACAGCTATAGCTTCTTGGAACCATAGGTGAGAGTTGGGGTGAAAAATGGACACCAAAGGTAGGGCTTGGCAGCCTTCACACCAGAAGTGCTGTCCTCCTGAACACCCTATATACCCCTCTAGAGATGCTAAAATAGAGGTGAAGGAAGAATGACTTTCAGGTATGGAGGACAGTCTATGCTCATTTCAAGAGTATTCATGTTTTTCTAAAATCAATGAGCCTTTATCATTTCTTATAGCACAGTACATAGCTTATGTTCCATCACTATCACATACCACAATTTATTATTTTTACATTACAGATACAAACTTGTATTTAAATTTACAGCCCTTCATTTAGAATCTAAACTCCTTAAGGATTCTTTCTTTACCTGTATCGATACCCCCAAGGCCCAGAAACAGTGTTTGACTCCCTCATAGGCCCTTCATAAATGCTTGTCAATTGACCCATTTGGGATTCACAACCTGGGTCCAACCGACCTTTCTAGCTCCGGTCCTGCTGTCTCTGCTCCTTTGCCCAGGCTGCCTGGAGTGCATCCCCACCTCACCTCTCTTTCTGTCTCTTGTTGCTGGATTTTATTGGTAATATATAGAATTCCTGGTTTCCTTTGAAGCCAAGCTTAAGGACAACTTTATACATGAATCATTTCCCGATCCCCTCTTCTGTTAGTGTCTTCACCCTTTTATTTATTTTTTTAATCTGCCTATTTATGTACTTGTTTTCTCCTCCATGGAATATAAGATCTTCAAAGGCACTGTTTGGGTTTTTACATTTGTATTCCTGGTGCCTAGCACATAGGCAAAGTGAGAATAAGCATTTATTAAGCACCTACAATGTACTAAGCACTGTGTTACACTCTTTACAAATATTATTTTATTTGCTATTCACAACTGCTGTTATTATCCCCATTCTACAGTCAAGGAAACTGAGGCAAAGGTTAAATGACTTGCCCAGGGTCTGATAGCTAATAAATGCCTGAGGTTAGATTTGAACTCAGTCTTCCTGACTCCAGGCCCAGTGATCTGCATTGTGCCACTTACCTGCATAGGGGTTGACTGGCACTATGCTACTTCTGCCTTATGCTCACATTATTAATGTTATTTTCAGTCCTCAGTTTCTTTGCAGGAATCTTTTTAAACCACTTGTCTATTTTTATACAGATTAGTTGAGTTAAATCTACAGCAAATAATCTATAAATTCACCTATCTAGGCACAAGTAAATTTCAATACATCACAATACACTGAAAATGAATAGATGAATGAAGGCACCCCTATGATTTGTTTCACAGTGTGGTATAATGTGGCATTTTCCCCTCAGGAGACCTTACATTCCATAAACAATTTATCATTGGCAAAAGGATTGAGTGAAGGTGTTACTGTCACTGACTTCCACAGCTCTCCCTTGGACATGTCACGGTACAGGGAAAGGGAGTTCTTTCATTCTTCTACCCCAACACCTGTTGTTCACATGCAGCAACTAGAGCCCAGGCCTCTGACTTCTGGCCCCAGCCACTTCTTAGTGCTTCTTACGTTCACTGAGCATAAGAAACCAAATAGTGATCAGAGATGGATTTGGGGGCCAGAGCTACCTCAGGAGTTCAGGGGTTTCTGGGTCAAGTCTAGCTAGTTTTACTTGCTAGGAGACATGACTTTTATTGAACTTGTTTGGACAATGCAATGCCTAGGTAAAGAGATGACTGTTTAGCAGTCCTATAAAATGTTGCATGTGCCCATGTTTTCAGTGTCAATCCCCCCAAGAGAGACAAACAGGAACATAGCAGGGCTTTGTTATGTACCCAGGTCACTTAAGATGGAGCCTAGCTTTCTGCACAGAAAATGCCAAGGAACCTGTTTCTGGGAGAAGACAAATTGGCTGTGTAGTTGAAATTGCCTGTATCTTGAAATCTACCTGACTGGTGTACAGTTGCTCTCCTTTGTGAAAGAGAGGTGAAATATATAGCCACTCACAAATGCAGTAAGCTTGATAGGGAAGAACCACCTTCCTCTCCCCTTGGGACATGTAGCTCTGAAAATAGGACTTGGGGTTTTGGTCTCGTTTCATTTGTGCTTTTCAGTTCTAGGTGCTGGCAGTAGAGACCTGGACCTGGGAGTCTGAGCCATGAGGATTTTGGAGCCCAGGATTCCTGGTTAGATGTTACTGCCATCCCAGCAGGAAAATCCTGAGGAACTGGTGTACCTGAATGCAAAGGCAGGAAGGGCTTTGGAGTTAGAACTTTATGGAATTAATGCCATGTAGGAACTGAACTAAGCTTTGAAACTAATCCCTTTCCTCTGCCTAGACACTGAGGTGGTACTGGAAGGATTATTGCCCTCTCCTGTCAAACAAACCAAACAAACTGGGACTGTGTGTGGGGACTGTATGTATATTCTTACTAAACTTCTTAAGCATATATTCCTTTGTAAAAGCTAATCTGATTTAAGTGTTTGAATGGAAGCGTGGGACTTGGATCCCTAAAATCGAAGGTTTTAGAGACTGCAAGAAAAAGATCCTTGTCCCTACTTTTAGAAGTCAAGGGCCTCCAGGACTGAACTCAGCATGAACAGGAACCCAGACCCGGTGCCCTTTAGTGGGGGAGGGAGCCGTATTCCCCCTGCACCAGTGCCAATTCTATTGTTAAATGTATTTTGTTGTTCTGATCCTATTTTTTACCCAAAGAAGGAAATACTGAATTTTATAAGATATCATTTCCCTCTCATAGAATGCTCAATTTATAAGTTATCTGGGGTTCCATAGAAAATGTTTGCTTTTGTTTAAAGGTCATTCAGCCTATGGAAATCTGGAAGGAAGGCTGGGAAGAACTTTATCTGCAGTATCCTAAAACTCAGTGTATAAAATCCTGGCTTCTAATACAAGCATCTGAGATTCTAGAAGCCACAAAAGCACTGTTGTTCTGATCTGGCCATTCTGGAGTACAATTTGGAACTAGGCC